TGGTATTGATTCTTTATAACTAGAACTCTGATATTTTCTAAAATACAATTCTCCAGTCTCCTCTGGATGGTGGAAGAGCCCCATTCAGCCAAGGGCACGGGTGAAATCTTTAGATAAAAGGTATGAAATGTATCAAAAACCAGCCAGCTTCTCCCTTACAGCCCAAACTCTATTTTTCTTCTGCAGAGTATATGGACTTCACAGGAGAAGGCATTTCTTTTGCTTTGCAATTTCCGAGTGATCTCTTTCGGTGTGACATTATATTTTGTAATCTGTCAGTTTTGTACAGCAATGCATATTTACAATTGGTGTAAAATTGTTTACACGGTTGCCTGCAAGATATGTTCTATAAATTGCTAAATGGAGAACTATTGAAAATTATACGTAATGGACAGTTTAAAGAAGCGGGGAAAAAAAAGGAATGGGAAACACAAAGAACTAAGAGTACTGTTCAGATAAGAGTGCTCAAAATTTTGGGAGTGTTTTAACACTCTCTGAAATCACTAGCAAAACTATTTCCTACACTGTGTGAGAGAGAGAGATTGCACATATACACCCAGATAACATGATAGAAGAAGAAAAGAAAATGGAGCAAATTTAACTCCATTTTTGACATAGCCATCGGAGATACTATACTGCTATTCACTGAGAAGAACCTGCACATACAGGACTGAAATTTAGAGTAATAAAAAGCTCTGAAGCTACAGAAGTCTGCAAGGAACAACTGATCTCTGCTTTAGCAATTCTGAAAATTCAATAGGATTTCAATACTCCATACAAATACTTAGGGTCACAAACAAATGGCTTCAGATTGTTTTTCTGAAGGTTCATAAAGCAAAAATAAAGAAGCAGCTTCTATATTCATCCTGCTTAGAGGGAAGGATTATAATAAATCCTGTAAAACAGTAACAAAAACTAGTATGCAGTCAAACACCTACTGCTCCTAACCGTATGACCAGAGCTCTGTCCTTGTAGAGCTTTTCAGCTTATGGTGATAGAAGGAGTACTTGTGGCACCTTAGAGACTAACCAATTTATTTGAGCATGAGCTTTCGTGAGCTACAGCTCACTTCATCGGATGCGTACCGTGGAAACTGCAGCAGACTTTATATACACACAGAGATCATGAAACAATACCATGATCTCTGTGTGTATATAAAGTCTGCTGTAGTTTCCACGGTATGCATCCGATGAAGTGAGCTGTAGCTCACGAAAGCTCATGCTCAAATAAATTGGTTAGTCTCTAAGGTGCCACAAGTACTCCTTTTCTTTTTGCGAATACAGACTAACACGGCTGTTACTCTGAAATCTGTCATTATGGTGATAGAGATGCTTAACAGTTCAGCGGGGCCAGAGCAACACACCTGAAGAGTTCTTACATGCCATACAGGCAAGAACCCAGATTGCCCATACTTCCCACCTATAAAGAACTTGGGTACAAATTCTTATCTCCCAGCTGTTACTTTCATCCTCCAGCTCCAACCCAGACACAGGTCCCTGTTCCTGAAGAAGGAGGATAATCTTATGCTTAAGGCACTAGACTGGAACGCCAAACACCTGGGCTCAATTTCCAGCTGTGCCAGTATATTCTTGGGAAAATTACTTAACCTCTCTATGCATCAGTTCCTAGCCTATGAAATAGGGAAAGTGAGACCTCTCTATGCAACACTGATGCTGAGAGGATAAATTCATTAATATTTGTGAAGGGCTCAAATAATATGGTGATGGGGCCCATAAAATCCCTATAAAAATGGAGAGGAATCTCTATCTCCCACTCTCCTACTACCTATACAGAAGCTCTGTTTTCCCACAGTTACTAGCATCACCCCGGTGCAGTGCAAGTTACATTGTAAAGTGCTGACAATAATATGCATGAAATTAAGAAGTTCTATCACATTTCGGGGGGAGGGCGGGCGCAGAATACGTCAGCAAGTCTCCATCCATTTCCTGGCTAGCCATGCTGCCCTTCCTCTCCAACAACCCCCTACATGTTCCTAACATGAGGAGAGAACTGTATCAGTGCCCATTTCTACCACAGATTTTACACTTTGCTCAACAAGGCCCTGAATAGACAACTATGAAACTAACCACTCAATGCCCAAAATGCAGAACCACAGATGCAAAAGACCAACAACTTAACAAGTTGCCATGCAGTGAATGGTACCAGTCCTGGATGGGAGAGCCTAAACTAATAGTATGCATGGAGGAACCAAAACTCTGTTTCTGCAGCTGCACCTTGGGATAGAGTAACAAAGAACGAGAATGAGATTTTCCTTGCACTTTTCAGTGTGTATATTTAATTTAAAAGCAGGGAAACAATAGGTGGAATGCACCGTCTATTCCAGCCCAGAGAAAGAGGAAAAGCCTGATTTCATTTTAGAAAAATGTAGTCAGTGCAACTCCCGCTCTTTTTCTTCCTGGGTCAAAGTCTAGGCAGCCTGCCATTTCAGAACCAGCCAAACACGTTAAACCTGCCTGTGACACCCACCCACGTTGCAGGATCCCACCTTTGCTATCCTTGAAAGTCTCATCACAGGATTCAGCCACTCAGGATGCTCCCCTCTTGTGCCTTAGCTGCTCAAGATTCAAGTCTCACTCAGTGTGGGCATGGGGGGGAAGGGGGAGGTGGTAATCCCAGACCATGCACAGTTGTCATTTAGTGACAACAGGCCCCCCAGCACAGAGAACTGCCGAATTTGCTGAGGCACTGCAATGGGATCTTTCAGAATGAAGGAGAGGGAGTGATGAACCATTGGAAGGTGTGGGGTGATACGGGAAGCTGCCAAAGTGCAGGAAAAGGGAAGTGGCAGTTTGGAGCCTTGCGTTTCAGACAAGGGTCGAAATGGAAAAAAAAGTGGTACTCTCTGAAATTCCCACTTGAGACACCAAAACAAGACTCCACTGACAGCTCATCTTCATAGTAAGACGGTCCCTATCCTTTCCTGCATGCTTCAATCAAAGTTATTTATTTTATACAGACGTCAATTACTGACATTAGGATTCAGAGTTAACAACCCATCTGAAATAAACCGGGCGGTTCTCAAAGCTGTTGTTCCACGCTGTCTGCAAACTCAAGCAGGTATCACTATATCAGTTACACTCACTTCATATTTTGAAAGTCTTTGCAACCACGAGAGAGCTAGGGACTTTTCATTTAGTGTATGCTTTCATTTTTTTAAAAAGTGCCCAGATAAAAGAACAAGTTCGCCATGACCCAGCCCAGTTCGACTTCTGGATGCAGAAAGAGAGAACCTCAGTGTTTTCCCAGATATGTATATTGCGCTGAAAGTTCATGTTTCCCTACCACTAATATCATCATCATCATCATCATTATTGTTATAGGTGGAGCTGACAGTGTCACCTATAGTTAAGGTTGCCCAACACTTCCCATTATAAGAACCTGTTGCCAGTTGCTTAAAACTTTACCAAATTTTAACCATTCGGACAGAAATTTTCCAGGCTGGTTATCTGCATCAGGCTGAAATTATTTTTTGTGTGGAAAATAATAGCAAAAACGGTTTGGCCATTTCAGCAAATGAAATCAAAGCAAAAGACGTTGCTTTGCCCATGTTCAAAAAAAAATGCTTAGAACCATTGAGAAGCTCTTGTGCCTCCATGCTTTGGAGGAGGGATTTGAAATTTGGCTGGGGGGTCATGCTGGTGTCAGGGATGTTCCCGTGAGAATCTGATCAAGTTATAATCCTCTGAACAATCACAGTTCAGTCGTTAGAATTTGGCATGCTCTGTCCCCTGAGAGCTCCTATGTGCTGACCGGACTGGGTACATGCCATTCCCACAGCACGATTGGGCATGCTCCATCCCAACATGGCAGGGGGTAAGCAGGACTTTCCCTGTTACTGCAGCTGCCAGGGGCTGCTGCGGCACTGAGCCCAGAAACTGAAAGCCGGCAGATTGTCCCTCTTGTGCTCTCAGTGCTGACCTGGCTGACACACAGGCAGCATGGAGAAGGAGGAGGAAGCAGCTTTTCTGCTGAGGATACAAACTGGACCACAAGGAGAGGTAGACTGAGCAGATTAGGACAAGGAGCCTGATGGAGGAAGACTGGGAGGGCAGGGGATACTGGGACAGGCTGACAAGGAGACTGGATGCTGGAGGGAGGGAACTGGGATAGGGAGGGACTGAGAGCGTGCGGGGCATGGGAGGACAGATCAAATGAGGAGCCAGAGAGGATAGAGACTGGAACTAGCTGGGCAAGGAGACTGTGATATAGACCCAGGGGAAGGAGACTGGGCGCTAGAGTGGTGGTGGTGGTGCGGGGCAGGAAGTGAGAATTGGATAACGAGCAGGGGGAGAAGGATGAAGACTGGAACTAGCTAGGGGAGGAGACTGGGATGAGGAGCTGGAGGGGGAAGAGGAAAAGAGAGGAACAAGACAGCACTGGCCCAGAGACAGGTTTGGAGGGGAGGAGAGAAGAGGGTGCCCACTACAGCACAATTCCTTCCAGAATCTGGAAAGGAAATCCAGCGTCCTGAGTCTCAACATTCCTCTGTTGTCAGTAAATATCACTGAAATCCACCGGCAAAGAGCATGTGCCTCATCCCCCTGTAGTGCTGGTTCACAGAAGATGACAAGTCTATGGAGAGGATGTAATTTCAACACAAGATGCTTATAGAGCATCTTTCATCCCAAGATGATGTACAGATTCTACAAACAATATATGTGTGTGCACACACACAGGGGAATTGTTCCATTCATCCCCCCACCAAATGTGGACATCTCTCAGATTTAACACAAAAGCTATTTAACCCACAGCAACACCACATAACAGCTTAGAAAAGGACTTCTTAGCTACTCACTTTCACTACAAGAAATAATATTCTTCTCTTGCACTGGTTAGTTACAATCAATTATCCAGTGTAATGTTTACAACACTTCCCAGAAATATCAAACCTATTGTCTAGGCCCACGCTGGTAGTAGGAGGGAGGAGTATTTGTTACATCACTTTCCCCATGTGCTATAAATAGCTTTCAAACACTTACATTTTTAAAAGAAGGTATAGCTGCAGACTGAAGTAGTTTGCGAACAGCGTGAGACACAGTGTTGTGGTTCCCCTCGGCTTGAAGCACTTGTTCTTCTAGAAAAGAGACATGGCGTCCAACCATTTTAACAAATGCCTGTGGGGGGGGGGGGGGGACAGAAAAAAATCTAATGAGAATTACCAGCATCTGCACACTGGTTTTCAATACTATCCTGGCTACTGATCCAGAGTCAAATCAATGGCTTCAGCAAGATACCAGAATGCACTATTATTAATAGGAGTCGCAAACGGGATGCATTTTCAAACCTGGACTCTAATTTTCCACCTATAACCAGTAAGATGAGTAATTACTCACGGGGGCAAATGATTTAGTGCCATTTTTTTCAATACACCTCAAATGCACAATTTTGCTCCTTGTTTGCACACAGACTAGATGAGCACTTGCACACTGGCTGAAAATCTGACCACAGACATCCAACTACACTATTTGCTTGCACCTAAAAACTGGGTGGCTAGAAGACTAAACTCATTTGCACTCATAATTGGTTGTGGGTAGAAAACAGCAGAAGCAAAATTATTATTAGTCTTAGTGACTAGACAGAGGTATCTGAACTTCTGGCCTATGACATCCTCTGACTTCTTGTTGAGCCCTGTTGTAAGAAGAGTTGGGCACTGGAGTGTTCTAGCTGAACGATCACCAGGTTCAGATCCACAGAACAGTGACACGCCAAATCAATCACAAGCAGAGAAACGGAGTCTCCATCTCGCAAGGACGGCACGAGTCCCGCTAGACATCCTAGAATGCCAAGTCAGGGCAGCCAGGATAAAAATAGCTCCCACTAACTTTTTTTTTTTTTTACCTGCAGCTGAGTGACACTCAAAGGTGCGAAATTCTTTTCTACCTTTGTAAACATCAAATAAAATAATACATCACTTCCCATATGATCCTTTCAGCTGAATGCCCCTCACTGGTCAGCACAAGCTTCAGACACACATTGGAACTGGCTTTTGGAAAAAAACTGATCCATGTATCCAAATGTTCACAATAGAGTGATCACTAAAACCCAGATTCCACTGTAATACTCTCCCATGTACACACAAATTGCTACAAGGCAGAGTTTATAGGACTGTCTTAATTGTGAGCTCTCTGCAGCAGGTACTCTCTTACTTTATCTTTCTATAGAACCCACTTTGTACTTTGCTGAATCAAGGCTTTGAAGAGTAGCTCTAGTCTGAAAATAAATCTTGTACAAACGACACCACCTTATTCAACAGATCGGTGACAGGGACAGGGAGAGTTATTTTGCTACTTTGTAAAGGGGCTGAGCTCAAAGCTTGAGAAATGCCCACCTAGAATTGATGCCATGAACATTTAGCTTCTTCCACTTCTCCGAGTCAGTTAAAAATGATATTAAACATTATGTGATTTATCTTGTCATGTTTTAATTATATTCATCCCAGAGGCAACCTTGCCCTGAGCTGACACTGTAATTTTAATATACTGCTTACTAAATATGGTGAGGACATCATTTTAGTGAGTCGTACTGGCTTCCCTCATTCAGGATACAGCAAACACTAAAATGCTGCTGAAGAGGGGAGCACAGAGATATCTTTTACACAGTTACACAAGACTATTATCAACAAGCTGAAACTGATGGACATGAGACCTGACTTTCTTTTTTTTAAAACAGTAAACACCATGGCATAAATCTCCCTACAAGTCACCAAGACCCTGATCATTATGAATACCTTATATCTAATACTCAGAGTTGGTGAATCAGAAAAATAAATTATTCTTTAAGGCCCCAATCCCACAAGCACTTACACAAGTGCTATATTTTAGGCAAGAGTCCCACTGTTTTAAAACAAACAAGCAAACAAAAAACATACAGCCAAAGGGAACAAAATTAGTTGCAAATATGTGAGCACTCCGCACAAATCCAGAGAGAGGGCAACCTCAGAAGCACATTTCCCCGAACGCAAAACTCAATGCAACAAACCTCTAATTTATCAACTTTGGCATAGATGTTGTTCATTTCTACCACCTTGGCTTTAATGAGTGGAATGGTCTCGTCCAGGATCTGGGATGTATCGCTTCTAATCTGCACAGAAAACAAAGTATCTCACAGCAGAAAGCATCATCGTGATAAATACACAGCACCTCAACAGCAACTTTCACCTGACCGTTTCAAAGCACAAGCATTAGTAGGCCAAGACATAATGGGCTTAATCTGCAGCAAGGGAGATTTAGGTTAGATATTAGGAAAAACTTTCTACCTCTAAGGGTAGTTAAGTTTTAGAATAGGCTTCCAAGAGAGGTTTTTAAGAATAGGTTGGACAAACACCTGTCAGGGATAGTCTGGGACTCTAGGTTTATTTGGTCCTGGTTCTCCGCAGGGTGCTGGGCTTGATGACCTATTGGCGATTGTTCCAGCCCAACATTTCTATGATTCTGTGATTAATTAGGCAAATTACAAAACACCCCATTGAAACAGCTAGTGTTCTACCCAGGATACAAATGAGGAAACTGAAGTTATATGACTTTCCTAAGTCATTCAGGGAGTCAGTGGAAGAGCCAGGAGTAGAACCCATGATCCTGAGTGCAAGCCCTTGCCTCCTCCCAGTCTAACAACTAGACCCAAACTACTTCCCCACAAATCTTTTCTCAAAAGAGCTTTTCATTTTCCGTTCAGCAGTTCTGCTGTCAATACAACTAACAATGGTTAAAAATGTATTTATTTTCCCTCCATCCCCTGACTTTGATTTGATCAGAGAGGAATTGATTCATATTGGGAGGAATACAATTTCAAACAGTTTTTGATAAGGATAGCCTGTAGTTTAGCCTACAGCTATCAGCCCTGGTAGCCGATGGGGGAAAAAAAAAAAAAGGTTGATTTTTAGAGCTTGTGTACAATTAAAACGCCGTGCCACTGCATTGCTTCAGTGCAGACACTACCTACGATGACAGGAGGAGTTCTCCAACTGGTGTAGGTAATCCACCTCCCTGAGAGGCGGTAGGTCTTCCACTGACCTAGCGCTGTGTACACAGGGAGTTAGGTCAGTTTATCTAAACCGCTCAGGGGGGTGGATTTGTCACACCCCTGACAAACGTAAACTGACCTAATTTTCTAGTGTAGACCATGCCTTAGCTGTCATCAAATCCAATAAGAAAGGCAGAGACAGTTTACACTTAACTAACATTGTTCGATTTGTGCTGTAGACAGGCACAAAGCACAGAAATGTAGGAACTGTCATCCTGAATCAGACCTGTGGTCCATCTAGTACAGTATTTTGTCTGTAACAGTGGGCTATATCTAGGGTTACCAGATAGCAACTGCGATAAAACGGGACAGGGAGTAGGGGGTAATAGGCACCTATATAAGAAAAAGTCCCAAAAACCGGGACCGTCCCTTTAAAAATGGGACATCTAGTCACCCTAGCTGTATCAGATGTTTTAAAGAAGTGAGAATATCCATCATGCACAATGATGGCATAATCTGCACAGAGGAAGTTCCTTCCTAACTCCTGTCAAGTTAGTGGTAATTTGTGACCTGAAGCAGGAGGGTTTATACCCCTTACATACATTTTTATATTATCTAATGGGAACTGTGGGTGTTTGTATTAACATTATTTGTATTACTGTAGGGCTGAGGAGACTCAGCCAGAGATCAGGACCCCATTGTGCTAGGTGCTGTACAAACGCAAGAGACAGACCCTGGTTACAAAGACCTTACTGTCTAAGTATGAAAGATAAGAGACAGCAACTGGATACAGAGAGATGGGGAGTACAAGAAAACGACGTCATATTGGCCATCATGATCAGCAGTGATATCAGCACACCAGAGGCCTAACCATTTTCAAGTTTTTTGGAGGCATCATCTATATAAATGTCTGATCCTTATTTGGAGTTCTGTGAAGTGTGAAGTTAGTGGTATATAAACAGCCTTAAGCGATTAGCTTATTGAGAACTAGTCAGATACCATACCTGTCCTCCAATTTTGGGCCCGCAAGCAGAACAGAGAATACAAAATAAAGTGAGGGATAAGGAAGGAATTGAGAAACAGCTATTCCTACAAGTTTCAGAGTAACAGCCGTGTTAGTCTGTCTTTGCAAAAAGAAAAGGAGTACTTGTGGCACCTTAGAGACTAACCAATTTATTTGAGCATGAGCTTTCGTGAGCTACAGCTCACTTCATCGGATGCAGTGAGCTGTAGCTCACGAAAGCTCATGCTCAAATAAATTGATTAGTCTCTAAGGTGCCACAGGTACTCCTTCTCTTTTAGCTATTCCTACTGCTCTCCACTTCTAAGATCTAATGTATGATGACTTCTGACTAGTATATTAGAACATGACTCTACAAAATTGTACACTGCGCCAAATCACTTTTATTATTATGCAGATTAGGGACCTGACCCTGCATCCTTACTCAGGCAGAGCCCCCCGCACCTCGAACTGTCATCAGTGGGAGTTTTGCCTAAGTAAGGACTGCTGGATTGAGCCAGTAGAGTGTGGAGGTTTGTATAGGCAGCAGCATATTCTTAAAAGTATGATGCTTGTTTCATTTTAAAGTATCCGAGCAAACCTGCCCCTCTCTGTGTGCTAACGGGTTCTGCCATAAAAAAGATTGCAAGCACTTCCAGAAAGACTGTACAGTAGCAGTGAAGAGGCTGTAATTAGTGCTTCTCTGCTTCTGCTGACTTCTCCCCTCCTAAATTATTAACAATGGAAGCATCAAAGGTAGCAGCAAAGGAACCAAAAAATAAGGGGCCCTTACACAACAAGTGACACCCCAAACAACTGCTGCAAAGCCATTCATTCAAAAGGAAACAGTGCTGTGGAAGAGGGCTCCTGATGGGACTCTCTCCAAGAGGCTTTAACTTCTATCCAGCAAAGAAGTGGCTTCTTTTAAGTGAATATGAGTGTTAAAGAAATTCCAGTTAACTTCAGGCCTTAATTTAACAAAAACAAAACAGCAAAGCACCCAAGCAAACAATGAGATTAGATAAATGGCGCACAGTGGCAACACGTGAACCAAAGGAACAAAGAGGGCATCTGGATCTACTTATATAAGGAATCTTGTTGGGCCTAAGTGGGATGGAGCAGAGGAGGGTTTACATAACCCGTGGGCTGTCACGG